TGTTCTCAGTATGGGGGGGGGGGGGGGGGGGGGGGGGGGGGTTACATTATTATTTTGATGCTCATATTTTTCTATATTTTGTTACAATCAGTTCTAAATTTTTCGGATATTTATTTCATTCAATAGTATTTATTTACTTACTTCATTTCGCATTTGATATTCTTATTTTTCGTTTTTGGTTAATTTTTATATTTTTTGTTTTTTGGTTAATTTCTATTTTTCCGTGGTCCAGGAAGTATTTCCCTTTCCTAGTAATTTTTATTTTCTTTGTAATTTCCCTTCTGTCATTTCTAATTCAATACAATTTTTGTTATCAAGTTATCTATTGAAGCATTTGTGCTGTTTTTCCGATTCCCCTATCTTTTTTAGCCCTATCAATTTTTTTTTTAGAGTTTTATGCATAACTTGATTCACTTGACAAGTACATAGGCTGCAAGATCTTTAATAGTTAAGAATTGTGGAAAGATTAAGCAAAATTACTACCGTTTAGACATTCTACAACCCCAGAGTATGATAGACTAGTTCAAGTACCTGTTATTCTAAAACCCTGAGTTTTAGTTTTTGTAGTAACCCTGAGTAGTTTATATTTGCAGTCAGCATCGTCTTAAACACAAACTACGCAGGAAGTCGATGAATATAAGTGGATGATCTAATTTATTATTTCAGAAAAATGTTACAAGCTTTAAGAAGATAGGTAATACACCAATTAAATTGGGTGATCCTTACCAGATCGTTTAATCCAAAGGATGTAAGCCTTAAAAGTAACATTAAAAATCCTTTGTTAGATGGTTCAGGAGCGTCTGGTACTAAACTTGGTAGGGCAGATTACGGTCTGATCCCCCACATCTTTCAATTGGATAGAAAAAGGTTTCCACATTACTGTGCCAGAAACCTAAGTGCTAAGAAAGGGATCATAACCACTAACCGGTTGTTCTGCTATGTGCGTGCAAGGATAAAGAGCTTAATGTGATTGCGCTAGAATGAAAGGGACGAAACGAGACAAATACTCGAGGTAGGCTATGATAGCATCTGTAACTAGTTTACGTAAAATGGGATTATCTAGTGTCATTACCGTAGTAATAGAACATTCAACAAGCTTTCAATTTTCTGACAAAAACACAATGCAGCCGTATATGAGTTGATTCGGGTCATGTATGTGCATCTGACCATGTTTAGAAAAACATCGTACTAAGCATTTGCTTGAGGACAAGCAAAGTTCAAGTATGGGGGAGTTTGATAACACACAAATATATGATATTTTTAGCTTGATTTACATAAATTATTTCCCTTATTTTAATTGTATTATTTTATATAGGTATTACGCGGGTATTCACTTATTTTGCAGATAAATATTAAGTTAAAGACTTTGGAAGAAATGAAGAAAAAGGGTGCAAAAATAGCAAAAGGGCCAAAGAATAAAAGAAGAAGAAAGTATAAGCCCATCACAAGGCGTGAGCACGTGGCCCACTAGCATAAGGACCTTGACGATCGTCAAGGCACGCTGCCGGTCGTCACGGGAATAATGGACCAAGTGACCAACGTCACTTGGACTTGACAAACGTCACAGGCCCACCTTTTCCTTCTTTGACCACATAGTCTGCAAATCCAACGGAAGAGGAAAGTTCAAACACCAATCCAACGACCATCCTATTTTTAAGCTCCACTCAGTCAACACATGAAGGATGTAACCAACTCTGTGGTCCTATTTTTTCTCAAACGAACTCGAAGTGTTCCTATATTTTCTCAAACCTACGTATCGCACAAAGTACTATAAATAGAACCCTGGACACAACAAAGAAAAGAACCAGGACCTTTGATATTTTGAGAATTCATTTTCCTTAAGCATTTTTTCTTTAAGCATTTTTTTCCTGCAATTTTCTATTTCCTCTAGCATTTGTTTTCTGTACGATTGTCTCTATTCCTGATCGAAGCAAAGCCTACCAGCTTGTGGAGGAGTGCTTCTAGTCAAGAGTTAGAAGTAATTATACCCGTATCCAGAATTATTATCCTCAGGTTTATTTTTATGAATTGTTATTGCTTTTAATTAATATAATCATGTTTATTTTGTTTTGTCTTTGGAATTATTCTGTGAGTTGGTCTGATATTATGCTAGGCTAGAATTCGTATACCGGTATGTAAGGTCATATAACCAAGGGATCGAGTGACTCAGTTGGGTAATTGTTACTACAAAACATTTTTCGGGTCTAAGTTACTATTTTTAATCGATAAATTGTTTTGTTACGAAAGTAAAAACGGTAAGAGGTTAGGGTCAACAAAGCGGAAGTTTGAGATCTTTCAACTGGACAGTAGTAATTAGGCATTGACTTAAAATACAGCGGAAGCACTTTAAAGTTAATTAAGATTCTATTTCATTTTCAAAAAGTGTTTTTAACTCCTGCGGGATGGAGGAAGCGTACGTTAGGACTTAACTGCATAACCTAGATCAATAAAACGACAGTGTGAGACGAGGGCTTTTAAACTAAATAGATTTTACTGAAAGTTGTTTTGAAAATGCAAAGACACCCAACCGGTTGCTAGTTCACGCGGTCCGACCATTACATACTGGTAGTGCCGCTTACTAATAATTAAAATTAAACTTAATTTAGCATTTAGTTTCCCTACAACCCAATCAAACGTTCATTAGCTTTAGATTTGCAAAGTAACAATAGAAGACGGTAGTTCGATTCATCAGTCTCTGTGGTTCAATATCTTTTAAAACTACACGATAAGATTGTGCACTAGCAGTCTGAATGATTAGATACCTCAGTGTAATCTGATCACTCGCTTGCATGCATTCCACCCTTCGCAAGCTTTCACACATCTCTTTTCAAAAAGAATGGATAAGACCAAAATTCAGTTATCGGCCTCTTTTTAAATATCCCTATCAAACTCGCTTCAAAAAAATCTTCAAAACGCTAAGGTTCGACCTTGTACTATTCCACAAAAACTTTGGTCGAAATACCATCATTTACGTTTGTCTAAAACAAACTTAAAGCATTTCCAATACTCTTAATTTCTCTTTAAAAACATTGTTATTATTCAAACTTGAGCGTCAAATTTCTAGCTAACCGCGGGTGAGCGAAGATGATTAAGGAAACATTGAAGACATGATAGTGTTGTTTGGTGACAAAGAAAGCAGGTTGGTTAGAGTGGTCAAAACAGAGTAATCGCACTAGACGCGAGAACAATGCGTCCAACGAGAGCCTCAGAATTTTGAATATAAATAGACATTTTCAGTTCAGTGCAAAAGGAGCTTCGGTGGATCATAGGAGTACACAATTGGAGTAGGTTTATTCAGGTATACAACAATGGGATAATAAAGGAAGTCTAAAGGCGGAAGCGTTACTCAGGTGACAAGGAAAATCCTGGTTCCAAAGTCAACTTTTCTGGAAAAGTCAGCTATCACACTAACCATGTGTAAGCATTAATAAATTTTTTATTGTTGGGGTTAGATAAAAGTCATTATATTCATGTACTAAATATGTCATGGTATTCTATGTATATCTACTCATATTGTAATATTGGTGACTCTTTAATCTTAATGCTTATTTTAGCTTTACAACCTAAAACATGTTCTTATGGTGTGACCTGACATCGAAAGGTTCTTGTCATTACTAGATTCAAGATAATCACCTATTAAATACTAAACCTAGATATAAGTATAGGCTAAATATTCACACGTATTGTAGCAGGATCGGTGTGGAGTCTCGCCACTTTGCGATTGTTGGTACTTAATGCTATATGGTGGTTAATAGTAACATATATCATTGGGTAATACATTGATCTCACGGCGTGGAGACCGAAAGGATATATGAATGAGGGTAACTTATGGTAGTATTATACGATGAGTAGAGGAGTATATTACTAACCTATGGACGTGCATGATAGATATGTAATGATGAAATCTACCTCCAACAAGCATTCTAACTGTTAACACCAAAATCTCCAACTTTACTTTTTCTCATTTATTTTCTGTTATTTACTTTTCTGCATCACAACAAACACAAACCGCTTTTCTTACTTAGAATAAGAAATCACTGCTACTCTGTCTTTGAAACTATTGATCTTTGTGGATACGATAATTGTAAAATTTATTTTTGCTGCAAATGCAACAACCCATCTCACAGACTTCTGCATCGACAATTCTTGTTTCGAAGATGATAGCAAGTACTTGGGGACAACAATTTCGTGTTAGACAATAACCAATGAAGATCACATTAATCGAAATTCTCAATTTGATAGAGGCACGTCAATCACTAATGATCAGGTGAACTTTCGTCCGCAGGTTCCTTACACATGCATTATTACTCAAACACTTTTTACTCATACTTGCAAAATTCCTATTCATATACTAATTTGAGCGTTAAAGTGATAACTTTTTTACTTATACCTTTTTTACTTATTTGAGAACTATAACCACTACACTGAAAGTTTCACTACGCCAGTCTTCGACTTAACATCTATTTCTATTTCAATTAAGGATAGAGGTAATTGGTTTCGAAAACACACACTATAGATAAAAAAAATTGGTTGTGAGGTTAGATCATAAACTTAAGGTTTAATTATTGACAAAATCAGTGAATACTTCACACTAAATATAAACTTTAAAAAAAAAAACCATCGAAGGTCTTAAGGGTCTCTTCCTCTTTTATAATAATTTATGTGTAAGATTTGTTAGAAGTCAAGTCAATCGAGTATCCCATTTTCTTGCAAGGGCGTCTCATTTATTTGTTAGCCCCACGGTTTCTTATTACATGTCAGTCTGATATTATTATGAACAAAATTATATGATTTGCTTTTAAGAGAAAAATAAATTGTAAGTAACAATAATATTAAAATACATGGTACGTTGCAGGCTGGCTAATAATTAATTTTCAATATCTTAGTCTCAACTCTATAAATAGTAAAATCCATATATCATATTCCTTACCCTATATATGAGCACTGTCTCCTATAGTCTGTAATCAATATCACTACAGTTAATCATTTGTGTTGGTGAGATGAATTCAGGTCAGTTATTGTGTGAAATTCAAGTTCAACCCCACGTGCCAAAGAATTTCATTTGGCCAAAAGAGTATCTAGAGGATGCTCATGAAGAACTCCAAGCACCAGTGGTGGATCTTGAAGGGTTTCTCAATGGTGACAATGAATCCACACAACATGCATCTAATCTCATAAATGAGGCTTGTTTAAACCATGGTTTTTTCCAAGTGATTAATCATGGTGTTGATCCACTTCTCATTGCTCAAGCTTATGATCAAATGGATACTATTTTTAAACTTCCAAATCATAGGAAAGTGAGTGCTTATAAGGTGCCTGGTTCAATGTGGGGATATTCTGGTGCTCATGCTCATCGTTTCTCCTCTAAACTTCCATGGAAGGAAACTTTCTCTTTCCCTTACCATGTCAATGCATTAGAGGCTGATGTCACTAGCTACTTCAAATCTACATTAGGGGGTGATTTTCAACAAGCTGGGTAAGACTATAATTTATTATATTTACGTTGAATTTTTATAAGATTTAACTATAAAATGTATAAGCTTTTGGTTTCATTTTTACTTTAGACCTAAAGCTAAAATATATCAGCAACTAAAATTTTATGTTTTAGTACACTAAATATCCTCTATACTCATCTCATTTATTCTTATTTTGATAGATTTTATTTTTGATAGACACTGCAGTGCAGTCTTACAAGAATTAATCTATTTATATTAAATGGCTTGTCTTTTCATGGAATTAAGAAGCCAAACCGCGTTATCTATCAGCATCACTAACTATATAAAAAGATACATTAATTACAAATAATAATATTTATTCATTAACAAGGTTAATTAACATTTTGTAAATTTTGAATGAATTTTTTCAGAGTGACATTCGAGAAGTATTGTAAGTCGATGAAAGAGTTGGGAATGAAGCTGACAGAGCTATTGGCAATAAGCTTAGGAGTGAATGATCGATTGCATTACAGGGAATTGTTTGAAGAAGGTTGTTCCATTATGAGATGCAACAATTACCCATGTTGCCAGCAACCAAGTCTTGTCCTTGGGACAGGACCTCATTGTGATCCAACTTCTTTAACACTACTTCACCAAGATCAAGTTGGAGGTCTTCAGGTTTTTGTTGATGACAAGTGGCACACTGTTCGACCTCTTCCTAACGCACTCGTTGTTAATATCGGAGATACTTTTACGGTAAGCAACTATCTAGATTTTTAACAAACATGTTTTTATCTGTGGTACGTTCAAATATAAGTGATTAAATCAAACATCATTTTAAATATGTATTATATCGTCTTTGAATAAATAAAATTTTGAAATATTTTAAATTTTTAGATGAAAGATGTGACGTTTTTTTTGTGATCAAAGAGTCTTAATTATTGTTATTTATATCTTTTATAAGACGTTTATTCAGAAGCGAATCTTGATAATATATATTATATATATTGATATAGTTATCTATAAAAAATATTAAATAAATATATTATAAATAAAAAATAATATTATTTAAAGCAATACAAAAACTAATTGCGATTTTATAAAATTATTTTTTCAATTTAAAAAAACGAATATACAACAATTTGTAATAATTTGAAAAAAAGATGTTATAAAATTCATTTTTAAAAATACAAAAGAATTTTTTTTTTCAAAATTAAAACAAACGGATCCATATATCTACTTAAGTTATATATATTATGTAAATGTATAGTTTTTCAATTGCAAAAAAACTAAGTCCTGCCAAAGTTTTTAAAAAATAATTTATTATTACGACAAAATAGTATCAAAAGTTATGGAGACTAATATTATTATTTATTATTTTTATGATAATAAAAAAATGTCATTAATACATATTATAAAGACAACAACAAATATCATAACATCTATCTTGATCGAAATCTTAAATATTTATGTCCCACTACATATACCATCTAATGACACAATACAAATGAAAATATGAGTAGATTTAAATAAGATACGATTAGATTAGACAAGATATTATGATATTAAAGTATGCATGTTGTGTTGTGTAGGCATTATCAAATGGGAGGTACAAGAGTTGCCTCCATAGGGCCGTGGTTAATCAACACAAGCAGAGAAGGTCATTGGCTTTCTTTCTATGTCCCAAAGAAGATAAGGTGGTGAGACCCCCTCAAGATATTATTAGCAGAGATGGGACCAAACTGTATCCAGATTTTACATGGTCACAATTGCTTCATTTCACCCAAAATTATTACAGAGCAGATGAATCCACACTCTCAAATTTCACCAACTGGTTGATATCTTCCAAGCCACTAATTTAATCCTAAAATCGATTCTGTTTATGTTACTTTATTTTTCTGTATAAGAGATTCATACAAAATCTCTCATTTCCTAGTTCCAAAATTCCTACATTTTATTGTACCATTTAATTTCACTACTATTGATTATGTATTGTATTTTATATTTATTTATTTCTATGTACTTTATTATTTAAAAAGTTACATATATTTATTTGCTTGCACATTCCAACGAGTTTTGTATTTATTTTGTTATTTTTAAACTTTAATATAATATTAATCATTTTGATTTTGATAAAAATCTTATACTACTTATTGCCAAGAGGTCAATAAGTAGAATGAGATGATTAACACTTATGAGAACCTATGAAAATTAATAAAAGACAAATATTTACGTGCAAGTAGCAAAATATATTAATTTGCTTTGTTGTAAACATAAAAGTTAGTTATGAGTTATCTTAAACATAAAAGTTAGTTATGAGTTATCTTAATAGTCTCAATTGTGATTGTCTTTGTAATTCAAAACATTACATCAAGTAAAGAACTTTGTCACTTGAATATGAGTTCCTTTAACTCCTCTAAAATGGGTTAAGAACAATGTTGATTTTTTTTTAGCCGTAAAATTAAGGATCACTATTAAAAAATATATTTGAGAAAAGGTTTTTACATCAGGTATCAAAATATATGATGTAAAAAATGAAATTAAAAACATTTTATATCAGATATTTATTTGCAATGATATAAATAATATGAAAAAAAAATATTTTTCGCTATCTATTACATCGGGCCATTTAATCCACCGATGTAAAAGGTTTTGTGAAAAAAACACGGTGGCATTTTTGTAAATAAGAAACCAGGTGGCAGAATTGTAAATAAAAAACTGGTCAGATATTACATCGGTCCCTGCAGTCCACCGATGTAAAAAGTCCGTGGCAGATTGGTAATATAAAAAATATATTAAGAACCTTACATCGGAGCATTCTAAAAACCGATGTAAAAAACATCAACGTCCGAACCTTACATCGGGTCATTCTTTAAACTGTTGTAAAAAACTACCTTACATCAGGCCATTCTGTAAACCAATGTAAAAAACATCAGCGCCAGAACCTTACATCGGGCCATTCTAAAAACCGATGTAAAAAACATCAACCGCCCGAACCCTTATATCGGGCCAAGGGTTGCACCGATGTAAAAACATATATATATATATATATATATATATATATATATATATATATATATATATATATATATATATATATATATATATATATATATATATATATATATATAATGTTGAAATAACCCCTAAATGCAAATTATTTCGTCACTGTTCAACTTCTCTCACCTACGTCGTTCCGCCCCCGTATCGCCTACGCCGCTCCTCACAGATTTCACGTCTCCTCGCCTCCGACTGCACGAAGACATCCTCCGCCTTCCATTCGCCGTCCATTTCGCCGTCCATTCGCCGTCCGTTTCGTCGTCCGTTCTCCGTCTTTGAAACATCCTCCGTCGTCCAACTACGATTCCGGTACGAAACTTTCTATTTTGTTCAACTTCATTGTATATCTAGGAATTGGTTGAAAGTTTATATAGAATTATTTCCAAGATGTTGGCTTCTAGGTTGAAGAGGGTCATGTGTAAGTTGATATCTCAATGTCAAGCAACTTTTGTATTCCAAAGACAAACATTGGTGTTTTAGTTTCTAAGAGTTATATATACAAAAAAGTGTTTAAGATATTCTTGTTTCTTTGTTTGTTACTGAGATTCATTATAAAAAATTAGAAGTACATAGAAAAATAATTAGAAGATTATACTATGAATCCATTACTTTGTTCATATATGTTTTTTAATTACTAAACAGTTTATTATTATTATAGAGGTTAATTAAGTCTAATTAGTTATAAATAGTATATATTTTGTATAAAGTTAAGAATATAGTACATGTTGTGTATAATTAGTCATTCTTTTTCATTAGAGAAATTGTCTATTTAGAAACCTCTGAAAAAAGCGTTAATGGTCCTCTCAGAAACACACAGTTTATCTTTAACCTATCAAACTTAATAGAGTTATCACCTTGCCATTGAAATTTGATTCTATTTTTCTTTCTTCGCGAAGCAGCCCAACTTGCAATCTCGGAATCTCCGTGAAGTATCGCAGTCGTGGGCACACCCTTCGTCAGACCTTCCTCCGTGTGAACATAGTTATGGATCGTAGTTGGATGAGAGCTAATCGATTAAGTGACGAGTACGAATATGGAGTGATGGAATTTCTACAGTTTGCTGAAAGTAGTGCTGAAAAAAGTCTTCCTACGCTTTTTCTCTGTCCATGTGTTTGTTGTGCAAATAAAGAACCAAAACGTAGTAAGAAAGAAATCATGGATCATCTAATTTGTGTAGGGATTTGTCAAAGTTATACATAATGGATATGGAACGGTGAAGTAGTAGCAAAGTCAAACGTGTCTCAAAGAGATGATGTTAGTGTAGAAATGGATGATCGTCTAGAAGACATGATGCGTGATATTGGACAAGATTCGTTTAAGAGGGCACATACGTATGATACTATATGCAGTGACAAGGATAAACCATTGTACCCGGGATGTAAAAAATTTACACGTCTATCATCCGTGTTAAAATTATTTAATCTGAAGGCAAAGAAAGGGTGGACTGACAAAAGTTTTACCGATTTGCTTTAATTGTTGACCGAAATGCTTCCAGAAGGTAATGTAATGCCAATTCGTTATTATGAGGCGAAGAAAATATTGTGTCTGATGGGTTTGGAGTATGAAAAGATACATGCATGCCCTAATGATTGCATATTATACAGAAAAGAGTATGTAAACTATAATCATTATCCGAAGTGCAAAGCTTCACGCTACAAAAAGAAAGATGATGAATCAATTGATGATGAGGTGGTCAAAAAGGGTCCTCCTGCGAAAGTGGTATGGTACCTACCAATAATTTCAAGGTTCAAGAGATTATTCGCCAATGCAGATGACGCAAAGAATCTTAGATGACATGCAGAAGAAAGAAAATATGATGGACAAATTCGTCATGTAGATGATTCTTTGCAATTGGAAGAAAATAGATTCTTTGTTTCCAAATTTTGGCAAAGAGTCGAGAAACCTTAGACTTGGACTTGCTACTGATGGAATGAATCTTTTTGGTAATCTGAGTACTAACCATAGTTCTTGACCTGTTCTCCTGATGATTTACAACCTATCTCATAGGTTGTGCATGAAGCGTAAATATATTATGTTATCGATGATGATATTGGGCCCAAAAAAACCAGGAAATGACATAGACGTTTATCTAAGTCCACTGATTGATGGTTTAAGAGTGTTGTGAGAGGAAGGGGTGGATGTTTTTGATGCGTATTCTGGCGAACAGTTCAATATGTGTGCCATGTTGTTTTGCACCATCAACGATTTTCCGGCATATGGTAATTTGTCTGGGTATAAAGTTAAAGGGCATAAGGCGTGTCCTATATGTGAAAAAGACACTTGTTACCATCATCTTGAAAAAGGAAAGAAGACCGTTTATCTCGGGCATCGAAAATTTCTAAAACGTTATCATCCATATCGTAGATTGCGGAAAGTTTTCAATGGGGAACAAGAGCATGGTGTTGCTCCAAAGCCCTTATCTGGAGAGGAAGTTTATCAGCGACAACAGGGGCTTGATGTTGTCTTTGGAAAGTACCAAAAACGATCTACTGTGAAAAATGTATGGAAAAAGAGATCGATTTTCTTCGATCTTCAATATTGGTCTAGTCTTGATGTAAGACATTGTATTGATGTGATGCACGTGGAGAAAAATGTATGCGATAGTGTAATCGGAACACTTCTCAACATTCAAGGCAAGACAAAAGATGGTATTAATGTTCGTCTGGATTTGGGTTGGATGGGTATACAAGAAGAGTTAACTCCACAATATATAGGTAATAAGACATATTTGTCTCCTGCCTGCTACACTTTGTCTAAAAAAGAGAAAATAAGCTTTTGTGAGTGTTTACAAAGTATCAAAGTGCCGCATGGTTACTCATAAAATCTCAAGAGGCTTGTATCAGTTAAAGATCTTAAATTAGTTGTCTTAAAATCTCATGATTGTCATGTCTTAATGCAACAACTACTACCATTGGCTATTCGTGGGATATTGCCTAACAACGTTAGGAAGACTATAACTAGGTTGTGCTTATTTTTCAATGCAATTTGTTGTAAAGCCATTGATCCACTAAAGTTAGACGATTTGGAAAATGAGGCTGCAGTTATCTTGTGCCAATTAGAGATGTATTTTCCTCCTTCATTTTTTGACATTATGGTTCACTTGATTGTTCATCTAGTAAGGAAGATTAGATTATGTGGTCCAATTTTTTTACAGTGGATGTATCCAATAGAGCGATACATGAAGATTCTAAAAGGGTATACAAAAAACCCACACCGCCCGGAAGCATCGATTATTGAGAGGTACATTACAGAAGAAGCAATTGAGTTTTGTTCTAACTATTTGTCAGAAGTGGATGTTGTAGGGGTTCCCAAGTCTCGTCATGATGGAAGATATGAGGGTGTGGGTACACAAGGTTTAAAAGTCAAGAGCTTAAGTATTAATGTGGTTGTTCAAGCGCATTTGTATATATTGAATAGCATAGATGAAGTTCAACCTTACTTATCTGCTCACAAAAGCATCATAAAGAAAAAGTACCCCAAGATGAATGAAAGAGGATTGTTAAAAGAGCATAATAAGAGTTTCTCTGAGTGGTTTAAAGAAAGAATTGCTAATGAAGATAGTGTTTCTAATACAATTAAGTGGTTGTCTTATGGGCCTAAATGTAACATAATAACTTGGAGTGGATATGATATTAATAAAACCTCTTTTTATACAAAGTCAAAGGATGACTGTAGTACCACGCAAAATAGTGGGGTAATGATTGTGGCCGAGTTCATGCACTTCTCTAGTGCTAAAGATAAAAACCCGGTTATGGCATCTACACCGTACTTTGGGGTGATTGAAGAGATTTGGGAAGTTAAT